GTTGAAGCAAGCTCCGTGGTCGTGAGAAAAGTACCGGTGGTCGTGAGAAAAGTACCGGTGGTCGTGAGAAAAGTACCGGTGGTCGTGAGAAAAGTACCGGTGGTCGTGAGAAAAGTACCGGTGGTCGTGACAGCCGCCTTTGTGCCTATCGTGGTTGCAACTGCAGTTGTAGTCGCCGTTGTCAAGTTTGGAGCCGTGGTAGTTGTTGTTGTGGGTTGAGTCGTGCTCGTTACAGGGGCCACGACAGTGGTAGCGGTGACTGATGTAGCAAGGAATGTCGTGGTGGCGGAAACGGCTGTTTGTACGATTGCTGGTGAGGTCCCAGTCGTGGTGAAGGCCCGGACAGACACTGGTGTTGTTATAGCATCAGTGACCGTGGCCGATGTGTCTGTCAGAGAAGTTCTTGCCAAGTTTTGCCGCGTGATGGAGTTTCTCGGCAAGTTGATGCACTGATAGAGATAGGTATCGCATACGTTGTCCTTCTGGCACTGCGCATCGGTATCACAGGCTGACCCCAGTCCACCGGAGCGACAAAATCCTCGAACACATGCAAACGAGCAGTTTCCGTTGGTTGTACATGGCTGACCGTCTTGGTGCATTGGCGTGGCCAACGTTCGTGGGCCACTGTGTGTTCCGGATGGTGTGTGAGGGGGCAGTGCGGTTCTATTTGATCGCCGGACCATGCAGAGCTTCTGGCCAGATGATCCGACATCACAGACCGAATTGAGACCGATGCAGTCGTAGCTAAACTCGCATGGCTCGTTGAGTCTTCCCGTGACACATACTCCGCGAATACAATCAAGGGCGTTGGGCTGCTGCGATTTGCAGTCATTCAGGGAGCGACAGGGGACCGGATTACCCTGCTGTCCTTGTTGCTGACCACAGGTAGAGTTGGATAAACAGGTCAGATCGACTCTACAGTGATAGTTGTGAGCACATGGTTGCTCGGACTGTCCCGAAGTGCAGATCTGCATCGAACTGACACACATGAATGTGCAGTCGCTATCGCTCTTGCAGGAGGCGGAAGATGTCTCGGGGTATTGCCGCGCTGTAGGTTTGGATCGGCACCAGTGGCAGCACAGCAAAGAGGGGTAGTTAGCACGATATGGCTTTGGAGATACGATAGCGGCACGGGCCACCAAACTCAAGAAACCAACATACCGCCCTCAAGACAGAGTCAACGGGTATTCGCGGAATGATCACAGTGCCGGGTGTGGCGATACTCACGAAGGGCAACCGCCAGCTGCACGATGACCGCGCTGATGTACAATAACACGGCCAGAGCAGCAGAGTGAGCGACCATCATTGCGTGACGATGTCAGGCCGAAGTAGGGTGAATTGTAGGGGGGGGGCACCAGTACCAAGTCGCCATCGGTGGCACGCCTTGGGCCCAAGCCAGCGCTTCTATACTCGGCGAGCCAATCGAGAAAAGGCGGGAAGCCCACTGCGCGGTATACATATATATTGTTTTTTTGGCGGCGGAAGCCAACAGTGCGCCAAAGCCAGATGGCGGCCATTCCGATCGCAGCGGATCCAAATACAGGATGATCAACAGCAATTTGGCGCGCGCGGGCAAGTGCCCCAGGGGCTGGGCTCATGATGTCCCCCGCACGAACAAGAACCGCTGTGGGGGAGGCAGGACCGAGTCAGCTAGAGGAGACCGAGCCATTCTGACGGCATTGAGTGAGATTTTCCTATGTGAAAGGAGACAATGCCAATAGTACATAAGTGATCCGATTTCCGACGAAACATCAACAATAATATCGGTCCGAGACCCTCCCCCCCCCCTTGTGCCCAAAGGTGTTGACGAATGTGCATTCTCATGGGGCGCAGTAGCGGCTTCCGATGTTGATAGAGCGAAAGCGGCGTGTTCTGATGCCCAGACGGTGACAGCTTCAAGTTGACTCTGCTGGACAGCGCGGTCTCAGCGGCGTCGAGCATACGCATCGACACCAAAGTCGACGCTCGGATCCAACACTAGCGCAACGGTGCCAGGACAAGATATTACACCACGACTCCGATCACCTACTTCCTGCGAGGCGGTTGGTTCCGAATCAGTTTGCTATCCGTCTCCGGCTCGTCCCAATGCTCCTCCGGCGCGGGCATATCCATGGCAAACCCGCGGGAATCGCCTCCTTCTCCGACGCCCAGAGAGGGGCCCTTTCCAAGAGGCGTCTTTCGCCGCGAGGTGAAGGCATCGCCAGATTGTAGATCATTCAGAGATCTCGAAAACGACGGCGCTCGTTGGGGTGCCGGCAACCCAAACGCACCGAGCGAGGCCAGATCCCACTCGTCTTCGATGGGCATAAACAGATCTGAGCGAAAGAGCCGATTCAGCTCACGGTCGACTCTGGATGACAATGCAGTCAGAGGGTAGGCCTTGATCACTAACGATTTGGTAAAGTCATAAATCGCCTGTACACAAATTTTGATCAGCGGGGTCATCGAGATACATGGGCTGGGGGCACACGTGCAATTGGCCGATTAAACTGGCGGGGCGAGCAGACCTCAAAGTACATCCGCTCTTTGGCCGGCTCCTTGCTGTTGGCCGAGACAACAAGCAATAGGAAGCAGTATGCCGTTGCGAAGGCCCGAAGGGAAGACTCCTTGTGTGCGACGGCTTCGTCCAACGTCCACACATTGCTTCCAAAGAGAAGATTTCTTGTTGCGACAGCGCATGCACGATAAGTATCAGGAGCGAAATCGTGTGTGATCCTAGCTGGCGAGCGGCTTCCGAAGGTGCGTTTGCGGCTTACTGGGTGTTGTCTCCAAGTTGTCTCGGGACGTTCGATGGAAAGTCGACTCCGAGGCGATTGGTGGCCTTTTGCTTTTCGAGGTAGTTGACTCGTAAAAACCAGCTGCAGCAAACAAAGGCGTGTCGACGAGTGGTGTGAGCAAACCAGCCCTGTTGTGACAAAGGCGGGGACATACTTCCGCTGGATGGATCAACGAGCCTTCACATGAACCAAGCCACGAGGCGGTGGTGTGGATAGCGAAAGGGCTTATTTGGACGTTGTGCCTCTACGATGAACAGGATCAGCCGGAAATAAGCTCACTTGCAGTACTCGAGAGCAGTGTTGAAGAACTCATCTAGCTGTGTCGAGCTCAGGATCTTGACAAAGCTTTTGGTCATCCGCATTTTGTTGGCGTACTTGTCGAGCATGATTTCTGTTGTATCGGTAAAGCACACAGGAAGCCTTTCCTCAGCAGCTGCGCTTGGATGTTTGGAGACTTATGTCAGCCTGTGACTTACTTTTCGCATCAGTGAAGTCTCGGTTCTGGGAGCCGTCTCTGTGCACAGGTGGGATGCAGAGTGAGCGACCAGAGAGAGAAGCGGAGTGTCCAAATGGCGACGGTATCGGCGATGCCAACGCTATGAAGCAGATAACGGACTTGCCTATATGCGGATGCTCGTGCGGATGGCAGATCAATCCTATATGGCAAAGTCGTCCAAAGGAAAAGGCGGCAGAGAGTGAGAAACACCCTGCTCGGAGTGCCGAGCTCGACTCACGGGATGCAATCTGGCAGCCCCCGAACGACATTTCTCTCGGAACGGCTGCACGAGTTGCCGAACGCGGAGTAGATACAAACCCCGATGCGGGATTGACCTGAGGAAACAGTCCAGTTCCGTCGGCATCGCCGACTTGGTCTTTGGTGGGGTCGGCCATTGGTGCTGAACGCTTGACTTTCGGTACCCTACCCGAGCGACCTGGGCCCGTGGATTTTTTCCATCCAAAGGCTGTTTTGACGGCGATGTGAGTGGGGCTATGATCTGGATTGGTGGTCAGAGAGGCTTGGTTCGGGCTGGTGGCGATTGTCTCGGGGAGCCTGGGCACCGCGGATTCGGTTGTTCGTTGAACCATATATCGAGTGGAAGCAGCACCCCAGGGTCAAAGACAAGGGGCAACGTCGAGTCAAGCAGTGCAGCAGACATCGGGGGTGGTAGTGGGCAGGATACTCTCCGGAGTCGACGGAGAGTGAAGAGCAGCCTTTCCAAATCGAAATGGAACACCCAGACACGTGTGTCGACGGATGTTCGATCGATGCTCCCACCACAAAGCGAACTGGGACGCCTACCCATGCAGTCGGCGATAGCCTGGGTCCGTGTTCGAAGTGATCACTTTGGCAACCTCCGAGTGGAGAGATCGGGCCGCCCTCTGTCCACAATCGCCCTGCACGCAGTGATCATGTGGCGCCACATTGACACTGCGATTCCGCACTACACGGCAGCTGGAACTGCAGCACTGCATCGTAGCAATGGATGGGTGGGTATTCAGAACCCAGAAACAAGCGATAGCCCTGCTCAAAACGGGATGTCCCGTTCCCGTTCCCGTTCCCGTTCCCGTTCCCGTTCCCGTTCCCGTTCCCGTTCCCGTTCCCGTGTGAGTGCGTTTACAGCTTGCTCGAAGCAAAACGGGATATGGAATTGCACTCCTGTCTCCGCTGATCATCTAGTTGTTCGTTGCTTTGGGAACACACATGGTCGATTTCCGGTCGCGCCGATTGACTGGAATCGATGTCACAGTTGGGACTATGGTGCATGCGTTCGACCCTCTGCTCTGGACAGCTCTGTGCAAATATGGTTTCTTGTCGCCGAGATGGCTAGGTCGAACGAGTCGCTCGCCGTGTGTTCTGGGACATGGCCACCTCTGGTGATGGTGGGATTGCCCTAAATGCTTGGCGAATCCGGGATTCATGTGTTGGAGAAGCACATCCCTTTCCCTGTTTCCAGGGGCCATTCCCAAAGGCATCTCCAAAGACAATCACAAAGGCAGTCACAATCTCGGCCTGTTTGGACATACCGCTTGGTCATGGTGGACGATGGATGAGGTGTGTATTCACATCCAGAGAAAGCACCCTCCGGACTCGGAACAAGTTGCCACGTATGCTTCAGTTATGTTGTAATGTTCGGCCGTGTTCCTCGTGCAAGAAAACAGGAGCGCTTGTCTACGGGGATGCAAACGAAATGCCGTCGTCCTAACCGTCCTTGCTCGACACATGGAGCAGCGGATTTACTTGGATCGCGGGCAGCCAGATCCCAGCTGCCTGGCGCTTGACCCGGCATCAGGTGGGCTCACGCATGTTGTTCGTCGGATCCGTCGTGATGGTCGATGTTTTTCACCGAGAGGATGCTATTGTTTTGGCTCACCCGGAGCTCCTCCATGGTGACGATCCGCGGCAGTCGGCGATCAACCGGAGTGACCATCGCCTCTCTCCGAGACCTATATGAGCATGTTGGGCTGTGAGCTCCAGAGACGCTTTCTGCGCTCGGTTGCGTGATGATCCGAAGAAATGGCTTGTGTCGCAGCTTCCGACTTTTCTCAGCCGCTGGGGTTCGCTCCTGGAGGGCAACACATTCCATATCCCGGCTAGGGTAATCAACCGGGTCGGTGGGGTGACTATCGTGCAAAGGCTCACTCCGAATCGACGACGAGGATCGTCCCAGATCCAATACAACCTCATGCAGTCGGGAAAGTCGCAATAATACAGATGATCCCACCGAAGATCTTGTGGCACTGCTCTGGACACTGTCATGGCGATCCAGAGTCGGCGAATCTGGCGTCCAGTCGATAGATCAGCTCGTTAGAATCAGGCTTGGCTCACGGGCCTATTCAACAAACATGAGGCCAATTTATCGCTCTTGCTGTCGAATCTACCACCAATATGCTGTTAATGTCCACAATAGACACGAACTTGCAGCCATTTGGCTCCATTCTCGATCACTCACCGATAGCGGAACTGAATCGCGTTTGTTCGCCAGCTATCCAGCTCTTCCAGGCATCGACCATGGGGATCGTCGTTTTCGGGATCGGGATCGGGATCGAATCGCTGCGAATCTTTGCAACCCGTGCATGAGAAGGTGTTGGAGGCTGGCTTATCGCCGGACTGAGTGTCGCGTTGTCCGGCAGCATGTATGGGTCTCGTCGTGAGACAGATTGGCCTGTCCAAGGTACCAAAGGCTGGGAACCCAAGCCCACGGAGTACTCGAAGGCGATCCACTGGACGTTGAAATGCGCCGGCCACGGACAAATACCGGTAGACGCCGCAGTTTTGTTCGACAGGGGGGGGGGCGTGTGTATGCATTCGGGTATAGACGATGAGTAAAAGCAACAAAGTATTGTTAGAGCCTTCCGACGTCATCACAGCCACCGTTTCGCACTGGTCTATCCCATACATCTCACACGTGATTGGCCTCTCTCCCGCGATCGTGCATGTTCGTGTGCGGGAAACGAGAGATCATCAGCAGAGCGAGTCCGAGCCTCTCGGTAGAGCCAACCGCATCTTCATCCAAAGACCATTCACGCCCGAACCATATGACGGATAGTCGTGTGTGGATCGGTGCACCGATGCATGTTGACCGTGGGCGCGGCAAACATTCGGAGGCGAGGAGCAACGGATACCACCCTATCGATGCTCGCATACCTGGACGCTGACAGCCGACTTGGCAGAGCTGGCTTGTGACCCACTTGATTCTCGTTTCTCGGATCCACCCAGTCCACCACCGATGAGAGTCGAGAATCGGTGGACCGCGCCTCGCGACGCTGTGCTGTCTGGCCTTGGCTTCGTGTCGCCGGAGCCCAGATCAAACGTACCACTACTCAAACGATTGGCACTGAGCGAGGGATGCCGTGTGTATAAATCCGACTCGTGGCTTCTTTGATCAAGGAGTGAGCCATTTTCCCTGGGAGATGGGCGCTCCAGGCTGGAATACAGTCCCAGGCTGGTATATGAGGAATCGCTCAGAGGCCGTCGCGGAAACGACGGCTTGGGGGCAATTCCCATCCACGACGTTAATTGGCGCTTCATACTTGGTGGACGTCCATGGCCAGCAACCAGGACGACTGGCTCTGGAGGGGTTATCGAACTGGATCGGCTGGATTGCGGTTGCAGGATCGGGCCATCACCAGGATGCCGAGACCACGCCACGGACCTGGTTCCTGAGCGCACCATGCGTCGATGTCTGACCACGTATACGACCAAGATGAGTATCATGGCGATCATACTGAAGGCAGCGACTTCCACTGGGTTGATTGAGGATGACGCTGCAGAATCCCCAGCCGCCATTGGATCCGTCGAGGACGGGACTGCGAATGGCGGCGAAGGTGGCGGGATTTGGACGCTGGCGGAGCCACTGCTGTCGATCTGGTAGGCTAGCCATGTCCAGCTTTGGAGATCGAGAATATGATACTGGCTTGACGCTTGATCGGCTTCCAGGATATCAAGGGTTGGGATGCCGCCCCAAACCATGATGGCTGTTGCGCCGACCGGCGCGACCGATAGGAGGCTCCGAAACGAGGGACCTTGGCCAGTGGTGGGTTGTGGAGCGAGCGTCAGGGAGTCCGGGAAGCTGGAAAGGCGACATGCATATACAATGGATCAATCCGATGAACACCGCCAATGCCACGGAAGGCAATCGATTGAGCGAGTCAGCGATCGGAGGTAGGAGAGCAAGCGGCCTGGAGACTGGTCCTTTCCCAGGCATGTCCTGCTGGCGTTGGTCTCAAGAGGTAGTCGTCACAGTGACCATGTGTCTCCATGCAAGTGTTGTAGTGATTCCTCAGCCCCTTAGATTCTTGTGATTTGCTTGGTTTTGGCTTGCGTCCTCGTCCTCGTCCTCGTCCTCCTTCACCCCGACTCAAGCCCTTCCGGCTGACGGATCATTCCTCTACTCAGTTGCTCGTATCATGAGACACAAGCTCAGCAGACACTCACTTTGAGAAGTCCAGCACCCACACCGGCGAGTTTGTAGAATTGGAAGTCAGTCCGGCATCGATGAGAACCAGCTGTGAGCTGTCGGGCGAGGTTGCTGCCACCGGGGCAAACAAGACACCCGTTGGGCTGCGGTTGGCGGTAGAACTCATGGCGGGCAGTGTCAGCTTGAGATCGATGAGCCGAATGGCCAAGCAACCGTTGTTGATGGCGTCGGGCTGTGAAGCCAGGATCTGGGAGAACGGATTCGGAGGCAAGCCAATGCCCCAAGTGCCCGTGCTCGGCGGAGGTGCGGTGAAGAGCCCAAAGCATGCAAGAAGATGGCTACCGACGAGCAAGGACAAATGGCCATAGAGCGGCGGCAGAGCTGGAGGCGATCCGATCGAATACCACTGCAAAAGTCCAAGGTCAAAGGCCCAGATCTCGCTCGAAGGCCCATACGCCGTAATGCCGCCGACGACATAGATCAGCTGGGCATCCGGGTCGAATACTGCCGAGTGGCCATAGCGCCATCCAGGGGCATGCGAGCGGAGGTCGTCGAGGGCAGTGGTCTGATGGGCAAACGGGTCCAAGATCATCACCGAGTGGCTCGGCGGTGTCAGGGACTCGTTGCCTTGGACCATCCCAAAGAGAACCCAGATCTGATTCTCGATGACGAGGGCCTGGTGGTCGATCCTGGAGACGTTAGCGGCAACCATGACGGCGTGCCAGGACTGCGTCTGGTTGCTCTCAGGATCTGCTGCGATCGGGGTCGGGGTCGAGGCCGAGGCCAATCCCAAGACGACAGTGCTTGCTGTCGACGGAGCGGTGCCATGAATCGGATGGGTTGCTGTTGATGAATCGACCTTGTGGATCGGATCGGTTGCTGCCAGATCTGCCCTCGGCTCGGATGCGAATGTGGTGTTGATGATCATGGACGAGGCGAGTGCCGGCGCCCATCTCGGCTGGAAAGCAGCGGCATTGCCCAGGTCGAGCAGCCCCGCCATCGTTGCATTTGGCGAGGCATATCCTCCCAAGACCAGCAGGAGCAAAGCATCACTCAACGGGATGGGAATCGAGAACGCTGTCTGATGGATGGCGCCAACCGCCCACATGGTATTTTGGAGGTGCCTATTGATGGCGCTGGCGATGCAGGAGGACCCGAGAGCAAAGGAGTTTGGAGGCATCCCCTCGTCCATTGAGACGGAGGGGGCGGCCGAGACGAGTGCCTCCCGATCATGGCAGGGAAAGCGAAAACGGCAACTACACGGAGCTGACGATGAAGATGGAGCGCTGGGTCGTGTGATGATGGGCCCTGAAGCAAGCGCCTTTCCAACAGCCCGAGGAGCTTGAGCCGCATTGACCCCAACGTTAACCCCGACGTTGGCATCGGCATTGGCATCGGTATTGGCGGCTTCGAGAGCACCGCGGATCGGAGGCCACGGACATACCCGCAATGCTCATCGCCGATTGCAGCGATCGAGGTAGTTGTGTGAACGGACAGCCCCTCGTCGCTTCACATCTTGCGGGACAGCTCCACCAGGCCAGCAAACAAGCGGGCCCCTCCAGCGGGTCTGGGCGGGCTTGCGATCTGCAAGGAGCAAGGATGGCGGGATGCGGGGACGGGCCGCAGGACGAGGCCGAACTCGGAGACGGATGCGGGCGGATGGAGCTAGAGACGGCGACTCTGGGGATCATCCCAGAGCCTGAGAGAGGTGGCCATCATCGGTGTATCAAACAGCACCATCCATCGCTGGTGTTTGGGCGAGCTGGCGGAACGGGCAATGCGATCGAGGATCTGATTCGACTGCCAATGCGCCATCGTTGCTCGTCGGTGCGATAGTCGGTGTGGATGGTCAAGACATGGGCATTGCTGTTAAAGTATATGTGCATTATTCAACGGGTAGATGGGAATAGATCGTCCCAGGTCCCGCAGAGTAGCTTCGCGAGCGACTCTATCAGAGAATAGCGTCTTCGGTTCGTTCCAGAAAAAATGGGACGGTGCCAACATTCTCTGGAATCAGAGACCTGGGGCCTGCCGATCATCTCTCGACTGCTGTGGGCAGGACAGGGGATTGCACTCCTGTCTCCGCTGATCATCTAGTTGTTCGTTGCTTTGGGAACACACATGGTCGATTTCCGGTCGCGCCGATTGACTGGAATCGATGTCACAGTTGGGACTATGGTGCATGCGTTCGACCCTCTGCTCTGGACAGCTCTGTGCAAATATGGTTTCTTGTCGCCGAGATGGCTAGGTCGAACGAGTCGCTCGCCGTGTGTTCTGGGACATGGCCACCTCTGGTGATGGTGGGATTGCCCTAAATGCTTGGCGAATCCGGGATTCATGTGTTGGAGAAGCACATCCCTTTCCCTGTTTCCAGGGGCCATTCCCAAAGGCATCTCCAAAGACAATCACAAAGGCAGTCACAATCTCGGTCTCCTTAGATACTCAGAACAGGGTGCCCCATTTCGTTTTCGACTCGCTGTATTATCAAGGAGATAGCCAAAGTAGCAACAACGGCGTGAAAAGCGCCGATCGGCCTCGGCATCGTCAAGGCCTTGGGCAATTAGCTCAGTTGCCCTCTATTTCACCATCTCGGTACCTTTACCCTTGGCGAGCAAATAGCGCCGCCCAGAATGCAACCAGCATCAGCATCCAGTTGAAGGGAGTAAGTTGCAGCTGGCCCGCCCCGCTGGTATGTCGGTTGGCGGTTCGTGGATCGACAAAGGACGACGGTACAGGCGAAGGGCCGCTGCCGGGGCTGAGGTTGGAGGTGTTGGTGTTGGGGACCAGGAAGGGATTGGTTTCGCCAGGGACAGTGCCGTCGGCATTCATAGGCACGCCAACGATGCCTCGTCCGGCCCGCTGGTCGGGAGTATCGGCTGGCCACTTTGGAACAGGTTGGTCCTTGTCGTCGTAACACTGTGAAATAACAGGGCAGCCATGTCGAGCGATGTTGTCGTGGATACAGGCCGATCCGATCAGGACCGTAGACAGGGGAGGGATTAGCGACGCTGGGTATGGCAAGCACCTCGGAACCTATCTATGCCCGCCTCCAAGGCAGACCGAGACGGCCGCTCTGCCAAGGAAGTATTGCTCAAACGTAGCGTGACGACGTACCTGGACTTGGACATATTCGAAGATGGCGTACCGACCGTAATTCGGGTCAGCACCGCTCCAGTCGGTTGCGCCGCCGGCCCACTCCCGTGTGCGATCGGAATCGCCGGCGTCCCAAAGGGAGAACTGGATGAGGGATGGTGTTGTAGGATACCAGTATTGAATGAGGCCACTCTGGACTTGCTTGGACTGTTTGCCGTCGCCGGCCTTTGTGAAAATCTTTTGGACGACGCCGTCGATAGAGTACCTGTGGCCAAGCAGACGAGGCTGGTGTTGGATGCATGTGCGATACCGATACACGAGGTTTCTTCAGTGTAACTACATCAACGTACGTGATCTGGTTGTGGGTCCAGTCCATTTCATAGATGTGCCAGTCGTCGAAGGCGCCCGAGGGCACAAAGGCCCCGTAGTGAGTGCCCTTTTCGGGGTCGAGCTTGGTCAGGTTCCAAGGAGACTGATCTTGGTACTGGTGGTAAAAGACGTTGCTCTGAGACTGGCCCTTGACCATTTCCCAGTCGATTTCGTCTCCAATATCGGACATTGTGATGAAGGACGTGACAAAGCCGATCTGACGCACGGCCTTGAGGCGGGCGGTGATCTTGCCGTACAGGATATAGCGAGTCGATGAAACACGGGTACTGGCTGTGAGATTGCAGAGACAGACGGGATGTCAGACGGGGTGTCAGCGGCGACTGCACGCAGGGATAAGGGCAGCGACCCTGATGGCGTTAGGTTGGCAGGTGGAGTTGCAACCATGCATCAAGAGGAGGGGCACCAGAGAGGACGATCGGAGATGGAGGACATGGTTCGGTCGGCGAGTCAATCGTGATGATTCCGGATCTGCCAGCGTCTCGAGGAGGATATCCGCGGAGCTAGAGCGGCGACTTACATCCATACGGGTTGAGAGTGTCCGGCGGCTTGGCCGAGAGCATGAGCCCACCCGTTGCACCAAACTGGTTACGGATGAGCATCAGAGGTGGGATGGAAGTCAGCGACGATGCATGCAAATGAGAGGATGCGCATGGAGATGTCACATCGGCAGCGACTTTGAAGATGCCACCAGCGACATCATCGGCGAGAACAGGCACCAAGTGGCCATGCAGCAGCGGCGGCAGCAACAACAACAGCGACACCAACGACAGCAACGACAGCAACGACAGCAGCGACACTCACTGTGACCAGGTCCTTGGCGTGATCGATGGTCCAGTCGTAGACGGTATAGTCGATCAGCGGAGGGGCTCCTCGGCGCTCGGGGTTGGTCGGTGCCGGGGCGGCGATGCGGGAAGGATCCTTGAAATCATACCGAGCCGAGATGCAGTTGCCGACCACGCTGGGTGGGTCGGTGGACGAGGTCGCAGCAAGGGCGAAGCCGGATCTCGGGGTCGCAGCTCCGAAGCGGCTCTGGCCCTGGGATGAACCGGACTGGGGTGTGGTATTGGCAGAGGAAGTCACAGCGGGAGAGGTCATGGCGGGGCCGGGGGGATGCAAGTTCGGAGACGTGGTAAGAGAGGGGAGCAAGAAGCGGCTGGACGAACGAGCGGATGAAGACGAGAGAACGAAGACGAGAGATTTAAGGGCAACGGACGGCAAAGCGGCAACAGAGATACAGCGGTGCGGCTCTGTATGTCTGTGCAACGTGCTGCTGGGCACAGGTGTGGTGTGGTATTACTGTGTGATGTGATTTGACTCTGTGCTTTATCGCTGGGCTGGACCGCGTACGATTTTGGGCTGGGTGAGTTGTGGAGCAAGAGCAAGGGCGTCGGTGGGGGCTGTGCTGTGGTGGTGGGAGCGAAGAGATACTCGCCCAATGCTCCCCTCCAACTCTTGCTGGCAGCCCTGATCACCTCCACTCCAGGCCAAGGTTGACGAGGTCGACAAGCTGCTGCGTCCGGAGGCTGTGCTATGCAAGGCTTTGAGTTGCACTTTGTTCGGAACAGAGCGAGGCAGTGTGTCCCCGAGTCATGGGCAATCCAGTGGCTCTGGTGTCGCTTGGGCGCCTTCAGTGATCGCCGGGTGTGTGATATAATCCGACTGCGCCGTGCTTATCGAAACGAGACTATGTGTCCCAGTGTCCATTCACCCTGACCACTCTGGCCCGACCTCCGGGATCTGCCGAGTTCAGTGGTTCAAGTTTCGGACAGCAAGGCGAGCGAGCCAGCCTCCATCTCCAGATTCAAGGGTCAAGGGGAACATACAAGTCGTATATTTGCAGATGCAGTCAATGCATCCCAACACACGAGCACAGCAGCATTCAGTAGCAAGTACACATTAGCGACAACGGCATAGAAGGTTGGTTCGAAGTGGGAGTCGGGGTGGCGAGAACTTGGTGGTCATGGCGTCGAAGCATCATTGTCCGTCAAAGGGCGCAGTCCTCGGGCAGCCACTGGACTGACGGCCAGATGGATGAGGTTTCTCAGTTGCCGCCAGAGGTGGTGAAGCCATAGGTCTGGTCGGTCGAGCCAATGCCGCACTGGCCGTATGCGATCCAGAAGAAGCCGTCAGTGCCCCAGGTGGTGGTCCAGGAGTTCTTGCAGAGCCAGGCCTGGTTGCCCTCGTCCCAGCCGACGATCGAGACAGCGTGGCCGCCCTCCTGCTGGTCGGACTGCTGTGTGTAGATCTGGTTGTTGGAGCAGCAGTTCATAAAGTCTTGGTCTGTTGGGAGCAAGGGAGAGTGTGGTGAGTCGGTGCCATGTCCACCCAGATGCACTGTTGCATGTGCAGGTACTTACAGACAGTGAAGGCAGTCACCACGGCGCCGTAGGTCATGATGTGCTGTTTGATCTCGTCGACGCTGCCGAACGAGGCCACCGAGAGCCCGCTGGTGCGCTGGCAGCTGCTGTCGTCGCACTGCTGATCCTGACCGTCGCCGGCGGTGTAAGGGAAGCAGTCGGCCGAAACGACGCCGTTCTGGGCAATGTCGTTGGCCGCCTGGCCGGTCTGCCAGCCAGTGCTGCA